GCGGCCGCTCACGGCCTTTTTTCGCTTCCTGAAGGAGAGTCAGCCCATTTACCGGCAGAAGCATCCAGGTATGGAGTGCACCGTGATCCGCTTTTGCTTTGGAAATCCGACATCCTAAAATGTCGAGTTGACGGCACATTTGGCCCTAAAACTAACCTTGTTTTAGCTAAATGGAGGGTTTTTTCCCCCTGATAAGTGTTTAAAGCAAAAAGGTGCGGCATCGACAAAATATGTTACCTTACATAAAGCATATATGGAACATATATGTGCATACACTTTATATGTATGCATATACTTATACATGTACTTTTGTAATATCGATCCATTTTTTTTGTTAATTAAATGTTATAGGAGTGGCTAAGCAACATTACTGTTGCTTTTGGAGGCCAATGGCACGTGCTTTCAATGACATGAAGTAAGCTCAGGGTTAGGTCAGCATAATCTGTTGTACTTAATAGCTCAGCTAAAGCAGATTGAACAATTTCCACATGCCTTAAAGTTTGAAGGAAAAAAATATTTGGACCATTTGTACTAATAGTGAAGACTATTTTTTTTTCCAGTTAATTATGACTCTGCATTTTTGAAATACATTTTTTGATATAATGAGCTGTCTGTGATTTTTGTTTTGGTACTTTGTTTAAAAACTACATGTTGGGCTGTTAGCAATACATAAGAGAAAAGGTAACTATTTGAAGGCAAGTAGATTTTTCTAGGTATTTTAAATGCCTATAAAGTTTGTGATGGTGACTCTAGTCACTGAACTGTTGTCAGAAATCAGCAAAATAGACAACTGTGCTGAGGCAGAAAATACTGTGAGACTGAGGAAAAGTAGTATAACTATCTATGTGAAATGTTTAAAGGGCTCTTGTTATAAGCTGTAAGGTAGATTTACACTGGAAGAACAACTGGATGCCTTTGGGTTTTTTTGCGCAGTCATTCAGGAGTTTAGCAATGTAAAATACTGAAACACTGAATTTGCAATTATGTGCCTAAACACCAGTATTTTGCTGCCTCTTTCCCAGCAAAAGTTTGTTTCAGGTCATCTTGTGTTCTCAAAAATGGTCCAACTTAAAAGAGAAACTTGTGTTGATTGTTATAGACACTTGGCTCAGAAATGTTATTTTGGTTTATAACTGCATGCTTCAGTTTGAACTAGAAGCAGAGACATTTTTTTTCCTCGAAAGTCACAGTTCCTATGAACCATAGGTTTGTAAAAAGAGGGAAATGTGTTTGTAAAGAAAAAACAGTGACAACTTTTTTTCTTGAGGTTGAAGAAATGAATTACTGAATATTTCTTATATGCTTTTTATCTTTAATGTATAGAACTGACTGCTACGGACCTGGTTAAAAAAATGGCAGGTGTTTGGAGGGAGTTACCAGTATCAGAGAAACAAGTAAGCTTGGTTTTTGTTTTGCTTTGCCCTGTGTGCTTTGAACTATATAGAATATTACTAGTAATTTTCCTGGTTTGATGTCCCCTGTGTTGTTGCTCCCTTCTTACTCCGTGGCCAGTGTTTGCTTTTGTTGCCGAAGATTCTTGGCAAGTAAAGGCCTTAGTGCTTGTCCAGTTCTTCTAATGGCAAGAACTCTGTGGGCTTTGCTTATGATATTTAAAATTTGAAGACTTGCGGCATAACCTGCTCCTATAGTCACTTGGGGAATACCAGATAGTGCAGACTACTGAAATTCTCAACTAAGCAGTAGGCTTTTATAAAAGTAGTCTTTTATAAATTTAGTATATCGTATCGTTACCGAGTTTGGCATATACCAGAAAAGGGAATATTCTCCTTGAAGGAGACCAAAGAGGTAATAGATTAGTTTTAGTGTGCTGACGGCTTCACAAGGGTCAGAACCACTTCACATTTGTGCTCAGCGATGACCGATTTGAGGTGATGGCAATTGTCTGTGCCTGCGCTTCGAACAGAAGTAGGACATGGCTCTTCCTTATAGCAAAGGCTGCACGTTTGCCACTGGGTCATTCACATATGCGTCATTAAGAAGGACACATGCAGGATGGAGAGTCCAAAAGATACTTACATTATTCACATATAGCTAAAGCCAGGTGTTTTTTTCTTTGTTTATTTTACTTGTGTGAAGCCCTGTGGATTATTTCTAGGATCATTCTTGGTGGATTGCTCCTGAGGAGGATAAAAAACAGTATATGATCAGTAGAGAGAAGATCTACAGAAATTTGGTGTTTGGTACTTTTAAAAGCACCCTGCTTAGGTGAACAGTAACATGAAGCTAAGGTTGGTTTTTGTGTTTTAGGTTTATGAGGAAGCTAGAGAGGTAGAGTGGCAAAAATACCAGGAAGAGATGGCCAAATACAAAGCACAACTAACTCCAGCCAAGATTGCTGCTTTGAAAGAAGAAAGGCAAAGGCGAATAGTAAGAAGAAGGTTGTTCCAGCAAAAAAGAGTAAGTATTTTAAATTTCAGGTCTACTGCTGTCATGACTTTCTCCTTGAATGAGCATAAATACAGCTTTTAGTTTCTGAAAAGCTGGCTGAAGTTAAACCAAAAAAAAAAAGTTTTTTTGGAATTATTAAGTCTTGAAAATGCAGCTTGTTATCATTCTTTAGATTGGTTTTGACAAGTGGTGAGAATAACCAGATCAGCTTGATACACGGTCCAGATTACAGAACAAAGCGCAAGAAACTGAATATTGAGCTGTGTGGATTGTTTTGTTTTACGTAAAACACATGGACAAGTGATGTGTTCATTTTTAGGAAAATGCGTGTTGGGTATATTGAATAACTTTTCTTGTTTTTGTTCTTGTTTTTGAAGGAATTGTCTGTGCTTGGAAAACCTAAAAAACCTCGTAGTGCCTTTAACATTTTTGTATCAGAAAACCATCCAGAAAGTCAGGGAGCTTCACCTATGGTAAGCCAGGAAAGATTGTTTTTTTTTTTTTTAAAAAAAAAAAAAAACTTTGCCAGTGATGATATCTGTTGATATTGTAATCAGAAAATCTTTCTTGGATCCTTTGGCTTTTAGAGCAACTGTGCAGCAGTTAAGTCTCTGGATTTTTCTTTGCTAGTGTTTTTTTTTTTTTTGCCTATAGTGATCTTTTGGCTGAACTGCTGAGAGCATATTCTGTCCAAGCTGGTATGCTGACATGAAGACTTAAAAGATCTGATGTGCCACTTGCACTTCTACACACTTCACCTCTTCTTTTCTATAAAGAGAGAATTCTGCTCTTTTTATTTTTTTTTCAGTCTAGAAATGCATTAGTTTTTCAAGGTCTCATGGTGGTCTGCTACCATAACTGTAGTAGTTGTTATTGTTCTTCTTACAACAAAATCAGTGTTATGGAACACACAAGAGTTCCTTAGCAAAATCAGAAGTTCTGCACTAAACCACGCTTTGGGGTGATTGAAGTTACGTTGCTGGATTACTGCACTTAAACTATCAGTGACCTCTGCTATATCCATAATATCCTCCTTACCTTGTGCAGATAGACAGCTGGGAAGTGGTCAAGTTATTACAGTTTCAGGAAAAATGTGATGGGTCTTGTTGGCAGAAATACACTGTGGTGTTAGTAAGAGCAGTTTAATTAGGATGCCAACATATTTAGCAGCCTGTAAAAAAGGATGGGGAATGGTTATTTTCCTCAGTTATCTGTTTACAAGCTGTCTCTATTGACAAGTCAGCTGCATCCCAGTTTGACACATATATGGCTAAATAGTTTTCAAGTCATGCAAAGTTTCCTGTGAATGTAATGAATGTTTCTGTGGGCTTGGCTTAAGTTACAGATTGCTTTAAATTAAACCAATGTTTAATTTGTGTAAAATTGTAGCCTAGTATGCAACTGTGATGCTACAAATCAGTTCAGCCGCTTCACCTGCCTCCTTTTCCTGCATGGAATGTAATTTAAACTTACTTTGTGCTTATGCTGTCTGTAAATGTGGGTTGCATGACTCACAGCAATGTATTAAGACACATTGTTTATTGCTGGCCTAGGTTAGGAGATGGGGAATTAAGTCTTTGCAACTTTGTGTGGGTGATTTTTTTTTTTAATTGGTTTATATCTAGCTTATACCCGTGAGACATTCATCCTTAAGCCTCCGTGGTCTCTTTAATGTTACTTCAATATTGATGTTTTGTGTATTTGAACTCTGTAGGCAAAATTGAAGAATTTATATGACACATGGCAGAAGTTACCCAGTTCTCAAAGGCAGGTATGTCTGTGGCTTATGATGTGCCTTTAATGACGAAATTATCACATTCTTAAAAAAAATCTTGAACTAGTTGAACTAGAGTTGCTCAGGTATAATATTGAGAAAAATATTCTGACATCTTATTTACACACCTGAAAAAGGTTATTTTTGCTGTTATTGCAGTAATTACCTTCCCCCCCCCTTTTTTTTTTTTAAGCAATGTTGATGAAACAGGAGTGAGTGCAATAGAATGGAAGTTCTGTATGTCTGGGGTTAGAAGTTGAGTGGGATCTAGGAGTAATGGTGGACTAAATTTCAATTTTTTTTAACCCTGATAGATTAAAAATAAGATACTTTGTTTTAGTGTCAGGTTAGTAACCTGCTAGTCATGGAAACACTGTTAACAGGCAGAAAATTACAACTGCACATGGCAATTTGGATTATTTTTCTGATGCTTTCTCGTTGTATGGGTGAAAATCAGAGATATGCTATACTGAAATAAAACCTCTTTTTTTTTTTCTGGTTATTGACATAGCCAGGATTTGATGTTAAGGTTTGGGGGTTTTGCAGAAATGTAAAGTTTTTTGAGTTTGGTGATAAGAGTAAACATCTCAGATGTACACTGCCTTGGTTGTATTTCATTGCCCTTGTGTAAAGGGGGAGGATGTGATACGACAGGAGTAGCTTATTTCACAGCTGTCAACATATAATTTTCTTCCAGACATACCTGCAGCTTTCGGAAGATGATAAGGTCCGATACGAAAATGAAATGAAGTCTTGGGAAGCAAAAATGGTTGAACTGGGACGCGAAGACCTGGTCCGTTCCTCAACAAAAAAGAAAACTGTAAAGAAGAGCAAAGCTGCCAAAACTTCATCACAGGAAGCCACGGCAAAATTGAAGTTGAAAAAATCTGAAGAGTAAAACTGTTAGGTATTGTGTACTTGACCCCCTTTGATTGTCATGTCTTTATCGTGCGGTGTTAATGCTACACAGTGTTAGCACTTGAGTTTGGAAAACACATAAATGGCTCATCGGATATGTGGGAGAGGGGATCAGGTAAGAGAGACGTCAGCATCTCTTGGAAGTGGCTGGAATAATCACTGTAGATGCAACCTGAACAGTGTAATCGGTTAATCAAGCTGTGAATAGTGACACTGACTGGCATCAGCAAAGCCCTCCAGTAGTGGTAGGTAATCAGTAGTTTTATAAGATTTTTTTTTTTATGAAAGCAAGTATATCCTGCAGAACTACCACTTTCATTCTGTAAAGAAGACCTGAAAATCAACTTAATGCTGCTGTGTTTTATTCCCTCCATGATCTTGCTAGCGCAAACTAGCTGAAGTGCACTACACTTCTATAAAAGGCACAGCAGATGTAAAATAGACCCACTTCTGTTTATATTTGTCTGCCTGTCCTTTTGTATGTGTTGAACATCCATGTATAATCATTCATTTGCATTTTATTAAACACCTAGTACAAGTTTTGTATACAAAAAACAAAGTCACTGGACTTTTATTCCACGGTTTTGCTTTGTTGTGTGCACAGGTTACCTTTCTGGTGTCCCTGGGGGGCAGCCTGCAAGTGGGGAATAAAAAGTGTGAACTGTTAAAAGGCTTCTTTGTTTTTTTCTTTTTGATGTAATAAAGTGGACATTTTAAGAGCTACTTGTTTTTTTGGTTGGTTGATTTTGTGTTTTGCAGAGGGGGGCACGTTGTTGTTGTTATTTTTGGTGTTGTCATTATTTTTATGTTTTTTTTTTGGGGGGGAAGATATTTTGTTTTTTTCTGGGGGGACATCCTTTTTGTTGGG